TTCTTTATATGGTGGTGATGGGCACTATCAGGACAGGATCGTCTACCTAACAGCCCAATACCACCTTATTTCAATGTGACTGGTTTGGAATGTGAGGATATGACCATATGCTTTCCAGCTTATGGCTGCCCCTGCTGCTTAGCCAGAGGCCTTAACCTAGAACAAGGCTTCAGACTATCCTAGTGAGAGAAGGCCCATACAACAGGCGCACTTGTGAGTCTGATTCTTTGTTTTATACCTCTATAACTAGCTAAGAGACACAAATACACCTAAGTTCTTAAAGTATAAGCCTTTACAGGCAGGCCTGAATATCTATATTCTAACACCCTATACACCCTGTGCATCATCAATTCTGCTTAGTTTGTGCTGTGACTGGATGAACAGAACAGTGCTTTTCGAGAATGAGGCAGCATTTAGTTCTATCCCATTTAAAGAATGTTGTCCCAGTGGAGTCTTAGTTTGGCTACATCACACTAAAAGTCACCTACTACAATTTAACTGTTCAAACTGCACCCTGCCGATGGAAGCTTATTCTCAAGCAAATTGCAATTTCAGTCAGAGTTTGTAGCGCAGTGCTCTAGCTTTTGATTTGAATTAACTTGCTATTTCTTTATATGCAGTGTGTAACTAGATGCTAATGTCCTATTTCTGAACTTTGTTTAACTACACATGGATGCTTTGATATCTCCAGCATGGCTAAAATGATTTAACTAAAGTCTGATTTAAACAAATGATTAGCTGTTGCTACTTTTTCTTTCTTCTAATGTTGTAGTCTTAAAATTAGAAACCAGATGGTTAATACAATCAGTGTGACAGAGGCAAGAATTTCCTCATTGTTAGAATTTCAGATTTTACACAGAGTTTCTTATTAAAAAAAATCTTCAGCTCTGATCCTGTACACATTTATACACCCTTATTTGAGATCAGTATGACTGCTTGTGTATTTAATACCTGAATTCCTGTTAACACTTAGAAGCCTCAGTCACGGAACAAGAACCTGTTGCGCTAGGTGCTGTACAAACAGAACAAAGATGGGCCCTGTCCCAAAGTACTTACAATAAGTGTTTTCAGGGCCTTAAAATGCTTATCTATGTCAAGACATTAGGTCCAGGGCCTTGTTAGCCTCCTCTGTGGGAAAGCCACCGGAAACCTCAGAACACTAAGGTGATAAGCTTTGCTCTATCTGCAGCACACACTACCTTTTGATATATTAAGGATCCACAAATCAAGAAAGCTGAAATACTTCAGGGTTTGGAATGGCACCAGACATCTTTTGGATGAAGTGGTTTAAAAGGAGAAGACCAAGGCCAAGACTTAAGAGTCTAATTTCAGGCACCCATTTTTAAGTCCATATTTTAGGCACCTAAACAAACTAACCTGTTTTTCAAAGTGCTGAGCACCCAACAGCACCCACTGCTCTGAATAAAGGTATTTTTAATACTTTGTTCTTTGCCTACAGCAGTTTGTAAAATTTAGATAAGATATCTTATCCATAGGGACACTGAAGTCAATGGCTGAAATAGGATAAAGTTTATAATTAAACTGAAATGGCACTAAGCACAAATTTTCAAGTTAAATTGAGGCTAACTCTAAAAAAAAAAAAAGAGCCAGGTGATAGTTAATTCCACTTTATATAAGTTTTTGTCCCATACATCTTTTTTTGGTTGACCAAAACCATCTACAGAACAGAATGGCTAGTGGTTATTTGTGATGTTCCAGGAGCAATAGGAGACTAAAAGGAAGTCTGAATCAACAGAAATTTCATAAAGTTAACCTTCAAACTGCATCAGACTTTTTGCCAGAGCTCTTTTGGTGTCTTTATGTCAGTTTTTCTGCTACAATTCCAATTTAAAGTTGGAAATAAGAGCAAGCATTTCAGCCCTAGGCCATGTAAAAACTTCTTAAACTAGAAAATTTGTGACCCCATCACCAAAGATCAGACTCCATTAACCATTCGAGGGTTTACAGTGGACAGATGTAGTCCAGTGAAAGTCAAGCTTTCAACAAACAGAATGCAGCCATAAGAAGACTGCAGCAAGGGAGACAGGAATGAGTGCATGGAGAGGTGGTTATAGTAGAATCAGATTAGTGAAGCCTAGCAACAAGCTCCAACAGCTAAAGCTTGCCCCTGGAGTAGTAAGTCCGTAGCTTTATCTATGTCTAGGTCAGCTGCCTTTACCTCTTACGTTTGAGTAACAAGTTTATCTTGTACAAGAAATGGGCCGCATCAGCAATGTGATGGAACCCAGAGCAGCAGAAAGGAAAAGTTAGCGTGTTACACAGTATGCTTTAGTTGGGAATTGTGGGAAAAGACAAGAATCTATGGAGGTTACGACTAACCATAGGGACATTTCTCCTTATGATGCAGTTCTTTCCCCTTTACCACCAAGTGCCTCCAGATCTTGAAACAAATGTCATCATCTAGTTCATAGCCTAAATTAAGGGTTTTTTGTTTGTTTGTTTTTTTAAATCTCAGAATGCTTGAAAGGAAGAGTAACTGCAAGAGCCTCATTCCACTCTAAATTACGTTTTACCTCAGCTAAGTGTTTACTGCAATGCATCTCCTTCATATGGATAAGACAATACTGTCCGATTCCAATACTGCAGACACAAATGAAGATATGAAAGAGCCTGTTTCTATGCTGTGTATGATAAAAGCAACATCTAACCCAAGCAACAGGTAACAGTCTATTTTCAGTGCAGCACCTCATAGCCTGCTGCCAGGTATCCATTTCTATGAAGCTTGACTTCAGTTACACAAATTAAATGTCAGCATTTCAGACCTCCTGAAAAGGGAAGTAGCTCCAGTTTGTTACAAGGGGTGGGGGAAAAAAAGCAGAAAGTTCCCCTTTTGTGTTCAGAGCAATTTCTTCCATCAAATCAAGCCTCAGTTGCATTTTGCTTTTTGTTTTCACCTATTTTTTTTTTTTTTTTTTACACTTCCTAGTATCACTGTGAAGGCCAGTTTACTGAACCCCTTCCATTTGCTGTGATTTTTAGCTACAGACTCAAACACAACAGGTAAGGCCTTTTGCTCATGATGTAGCAGGTTCAAGTTTAAGGTTGAATTTGTCACAACACTAAGCTAATCAGTTCTCCAGCTGGGTGAGCTATATTTTTCTAGCTATTTTAAAAAGAACTAAACTGCAATCAAAATATACACAAGAAAGCCATGTTAGAAAGAGTCCGCTTTATCTCAGTGCTCTATTTACACAAAGCCAAGTTATGGCTTGAGGTCACCTGGTGACCAAAAGCCATAACACAGGACCTGGGGGAGGGATTTCTGTGAAGAAGAGCATATGAGGACATACCAAGACACTAATGGAGCCAGTTAAATGATTTACTTTTTGTGGTCTTGTTCTTTATAAGAACTATAGCACTTTTATGTAAGATTTTGCCTTCCCAACACAGTGTAAACACTGCCACAATACAGATTGTTCCTGCAACCACAGCTTCATGGTTTCCTGTTAGAAGAGTTCATCCCTGCAGTCCAAACTCCATGCAGCAATACAGCCTATGAGTTACAAAGAAAACAGTTCCCAAGCTGCTAAACCTGAAAACAGAAAACTCTTCAGGGGTTACACTGAGCGTGCAGTTTTCATGGCAGCCCTTCAAAATTCAAGTTATAGCTTATTTTGGACTTTGAAAGTTAGATAAACTGAAAGGGGCCTCATAATTTTATAATTAAAAAAAAGAAAAGAAAACTGAACTGCAAATTAAAAAGTAAAACTAGTCTCCTTCCATCACATCACAGAGCCACGTGGCCCTATTGCAAAGGAAGGAGAAGTGCAGACACATTGTAAGGGTATTTGCTCACAAAAAAATGCAACGCCCACTTAAATAAAGTTGGTATTGCACGGGATCCCTCCTGTGCAGCATCCGATGAAGTGAGCTGTAGCTCACAAAAGCTTATGCTCAAATAAATTGGTTAGTTTCTAAGGTGCCACAAGTACTCCTTTTCTTTTTGCGAATACAGACTAACACGGCTGCTACTCTAAAACTTGGGATCCCTCCAGAGACATATACAGTACCAAACAGCAAGATCTGGACCCCTTCCACAAGCCAACCTAAGTTAAACCTGTAGAGGGAAGGTTTCAGAGTAGCAGCTGTGTTAGTCTGTATTCCCAAAAAGAAAAGGAGTACATGTGGCACCTTAAGACTAACCAATTTATTTGAGCATAAGCTTTCATGAGCTACAGCTCACTTCATCGGATGCAACCAATTTTCTTTCTGTAGAGGGAAGTGGCACCAGGTAGCCTGGCCCTTCTTCTAGGACTAGAATCCATCCTGGGAACCAGTGAGGGGCAGAGTATCTGACTCTCCTGCCAGCAGTGTAATTCTCCATGGAAAGACTCCAGCAAGGAGTGGGGTCAGGATCCCTAGTCACTGAGGCTCACATTACCAGGCTTTGGCGGCGGGTGTGATCCAGGCAGTCACAAGAGAGGGGACGTTCTCCAGCACACAGAACACGTGTTTACACTGTCCAGCACAATAGGACCCCATTCCATATAGCAGCCTGCAAATGCTCCTGTAATCTGAACTACTGGACCTTCCCATCCTCCCGCCACCCCACGCCCAGCCCAGTGCACCACAGGCCCCCATACAAACCAAGCACCCGGCCCCTTTAAACGAGAACGAGCACTCACCTCGCCCCCTCCAGGCAGCCCTTTGGGACCAACCAGGGACACCGAGGAAGTGCAAGGTCACCCAGCCTTGCCCACGTTCACACGCAGGAGCCCGGGGAACAGAACCCAGACGTCCTGCCTCCGCCCCTGGCGGCAGGGGAAGGGGGTATGGGGACCACCCCCGAAGGGGAGGAAGGGGAGTATGGGCGCCGTCTCCGGAGCGACCCCGCAGCCTACGCCCGCCCATAAGGAGGCCTCCCCAGTCCCCAGGGCCGCTCCCCGCCACCCCCGCAGGGCAGAAGCCTGCGCTCCCTGCGCCCCGCCCTGGGGAAGGCAGGGCCCCGCCACCACCCTTGAGCCGGCCACCCCAAGTACCTAGAGCTGGGCTTGGCGGATTCGGCCTCCGGCCCCTGGAACATAGCAGCAGCAGCGGGCCAAGGGACGGTTCTCTGCTGACTCGGCTCCACAGCCCGCTCTCGCGGGTTGCGCTCGGTCCGGCCGCCTAGACAACAGGTAGCGCCCCGGCCCGCCCTGCTAACCCATTGGCTGATCTGTACGCCAATCTCATCGAGCCGCCTACCATACGCTGCACACTCCCACAAGAACCCGCCCACCAGACCTGGGAGGGAAGCTTTAAAACACCCGCTCCGTGACTCACGCTGCCCCCCTGCCCATTGGAGCAGTCACCTGCCATTCAGGAAAAGCTGCGGGGCCATTGGGCAAAGTGTGGGGCTAGAAACAGGAGGGCAACCCTTGATATTTAACGGGACAGGTCTAGGCACTTCACCCTTTCTCTGTTCCTTAAGGAAGGCCTGTCCCGAGGATTCATCCCCAGCCTGCCCGGGCTATCTGGAGCCATACTGGGCCATAGATTAGGGTGCCCAGATAGCAAGTATGAAAAATCAGGACAGAGTGTAGGAGGTAATAGGCACCTATATAAGAAAAAGCCCAAATATCAGGACTATCCCTATAAAATCAGGACATCTGGTCACCCTACCCTAGATACAGGAGACACCAGGTGAGTGAGGCGATATCTTTTATTGGACCAACTTCTGCTAGTGAGATACAAGCCCGGGGTAGCTAAAAGCCTTGTCTCTCACACCAGCAGAAGTTGCTTCAATAAATGATATTGTCTCACACATTGTCTCCCTAATATCCTAGGTGAGGCCCAGATCCCAGCCTGGCGTGCTTGGGCCGAGGCAAGGCCTGCTGAAGCATCTCTGGGGTTACCCCTACCCATCCCAGTTGGGCCTACTCCTTCAGGGGCAGGTGATGTTGCTCCATCCCTGGCAGGGGTAGTAGAGAAGGCTGTTCCCAGCATCTGCTCCAGTGATCACAGTGGCTAAGAGTTGCAGTTTCTATGGCTTGAAGCTCTGCGTGGAAGCATAGGACTGTTCTGAAAACAAGTATGGGGTTCTACAGTTGTATCACCTTGAAGCCCATATCAAACATGCTCCATTAGCAAGTAAAAATTTTTCTATTCTATCTCCTAGCCCTCCAGTACTCACTGTAAAGCTTAACCTTATTTTACATTTCACCATTATTAGTAAAGATTTGGCAGGCTAAATTATACCCTTAGGGTATGTCTACACTACGGAATAAGGTCAAATTTATAGAAGTCGGTTTTTTAGAAATCGGTTTTATAAATTCGAGTGTGTGTGTCCCCACAGAAAATACTCTAAGTGCATTAAGTGCATTAACTTGGCGGAGCGCTTCCACAGTACCGAGGCAAGCGTCGACTTCTGGAGCGTTGCACTGTGGGTAGCTATCCCACAGTTCCCGCAGTCTCCGCTGCCCATTGGAATTCTGGGTTGAGATCCCAATGCCTGATGGGGTTAAAACATTGTCGCGGGTGGTTCTGGGTACATATCGTCAGCCCCCCGTTCCCTCCCTCCCCCCGTGAAAGCAAGGGCAGACAATCATTTCGCGCCTTTTTTCCTGAGTTACCTGTGCAGACGCCATACCATGGCAAGCATGGAGCCCGCTCAGGTAACCGTCACCCTATGTCTCCTGGGTGCTGGCAGACGCGGTACGGCATTGCTACACAGTAGCAGCAACCCCTTGCCTTGTGGCAGCAGACGGTACAGTACGACTGGTAGCCGTCATCGTCATGTCTGAGGTGCTTCTGGTCGCCTCTGTGAGGTCAATCAGGAGCGCCTGGGCAGACATGGGCACAGGAACTAAATTTGGAGTGACTTGACCAGGTCATTCTCTTTAGTCCTGCAGTCAGTCCTATTGAACCGTCTTATGGTGAGCGGGCAGGCGATACGGACTGCTAGCAGTCGTACTGTACCATCTTCTGCCGAGCAGCCATGAGATGTGGATGGCATGCAGTCCTTCTGCACCGTCTGCTGCCAGCCAAAGATGTAAAAGATAGATGGAGTGGATCAAAACAAGAAATAGACCAGATTTGTTTTGTACTCATTTGCTTCCCCCCCTCCCCTGTCTAGGGGACTCATTCTTCTAGATCACACTGCAGTCACTTACAGAGAAGGTGCAGCGAGGTAAATCTAGCCATGTATCAATCAGAGGCCAGGCTAACCTTCTTGCTCCAATAAGGACAATAACTTAGGTGCACCATTTCTTATTGGAACCCTCCGTGAAGTCCTGCCTGAAATACTCCTTGATGTAAAGCCACCCCCTTTGTTGATTTTAGCTCCCTGAAGCCAACCCTGTAAGCGCCCCTCCCAGCGTCAGAGCAATGGCAAACAATCGGGCATCTGAGAGTGCTGTCCAGAGCAGTCACAATGGAGCACTCTGATGGGGCTAAAACATTGTCGCGGGTGGTTCTGGGTACGTGTCGTCAGGCCCCCGTTCCCTCCCTCCCTCCGTGAAAGCAAGGGCAGACAATCATTTCGCGCCTTTTTTCCTGAGTTACCTGTGCAGACGCCATACCACAGCAAGCATGGAGCCCGCTCAGGTAACCGTCACCCTATGTCTCCTGGGTGCTGGCAGACGCGGTACGGCTTTGCTGCACAGTAGCAGCAACCCCTTGCCTTCTGGCAGCAGACGGTGCAATACGATTGGTAGTCGTCCTCATTGTGTCCGAGGTGCTCCTGGCCGCAGGGACTAAATTTGGAGTGACTTGACCAGGTCATTCTCTTTAGTCCTGCAGTCAGTCCTATTGAACCGTCTTATGGTGAGCGGGCAGGCGATACGGACTGCTAGCAGTCGTACTGTACCATCTTCTGCCAGGCAGGCAAGAGATGAGGATTGCTAGCAGTCGTATTGCACCATCTTCTGCCAGGCAGGCAAGAGATGGGGATGGCTAGCAGTCGTACTGCACCATCTTCTGCCGAGCAGCCATGAGATGTGGATGGCATGCAGTCCTTCTGCACCGTCTGCTGCCAGCCAAAGATGTAAAAGATAGATGGAGTGGGTCAAAACAAGAAATAGACCAGATTTGTTTTGTACTCATTTGCCTCCTCCCCTGTCTAGGGGACTCATTCCTCTAGGTCAAACTGCAGTCACTCACAGAGAAGGTGCAGCGAGGTAAATCTAACCATGTATCAATCAGAGGCCAGGCTAACCTCCTTGTTCCAATAACAACGATAACTTAGGTGCACCATTTCTTATTGGAACCCTCCGTGCAGTCCTGCCTGAAATACTCCTTGATGTACAGGCACCCCCTTTGTTGATTTTAGCTCCCTGAAGCCAACCCTGTAAGCCGTGTCGTCAGTCGCCCCTCCCTCCGTCAGAGCAACGGCAGACAATCGTTCCGCGCCTTTTTTCTGTGCGGACGCCATACCACGGCAAGCATGGAGCCCGCTCAGCTCACTTTGGCAATTAGGAGCACATTAACCACCACACGCATTATTCAGCAGTATATGCAGCACCAGAACATGGCAACGCGATACTGGGCGAGGAGGCGACGTCAGCGCGGTCCCGTGAGTGATCAGGACATGGACACAGATTTCTCTGAAAGCATGGGCCCTGACAATGCATGCATCATGGTGCTAATGGGGCAGGTTCATGCTGTGGAACGCCGATTCTGGGCTCGGGAAACAAGCACAGACTGGTGGGACTGCATAGTGTTGCAGGTCTGGGACGATTCCCAGTGGCTACGAAACTTTCGCATGCGTAAGGGCACTTTCATGGAACTTTGTGACTTGCTTTCCCCTGCCCTGAAGCGCATGAATACCAAGATGAGAGCAGCCCTCACAGTTGAGAAGCGAGTGGCGATAGCCCTGTGGAAGCTTGCAACGCCAGACAGCTACCGGTCAGTTGGGAATCAATTTGGAGTGGGCAAATCTACTGTGGGGGCTGCTGTGATGCAAGTAGCCCACGCAATCAAAGATCTGCTGATATCAAGGGTAGTGACCCTGGGAAATGTGCAGGTCATAGTGGATGGCTTTGCTGCAATGGGATTCCCTAACTGTGGTGGGGCTATAGACGGAACCCATATCCCTATCTTGGCACCGGAGCACCAAGCCGCCGAGTACATAAACCGCAAGGGGTACTTTTCGATAGTGCTGCAAGCTCTGGTGGATCACAAGGGACGTTTCACCAACATCAACGTGGGATGGCCGGGAAAGGTGCATGATGCTCGCATCTTCAGGAACTCTGGTCTGTTTCAAAAGCTGCAGGAAGGGACTTTATTCCCAGACCAGAAAATAACTGTTGGGGATGTTGAAATGCCTATATGTATCCTTGGGGACCCAGCCTACCCCTTAATGCCATGGCTCATGAAGCCATACACAGGCAGCCTGGACAGTGGTCAGGAGCTGTTCAACTACAGGCTGAGCAAGTGCAGAATGGTGGTAGAATGTGCATTTGGACGTTTAAAGGCGCGCTGGCGCAGTTTACTGACTCGCTTAGACCTCAGCGAAACCAATATTCCCACTGTTATTACTGCTTGCTGTGTGCTCCACAATATCTGTGAGAGTAAGGGGGAGACGTTTATGGCGGGGTGGGAGGTTGAGGCAAATCGCCTGGCTGCTGGTTACGCGCAGCCACACAAGGGCGGTTAGAAGAGCACAGGAGGGCGCGGTACGCATCAGAGAAGCTTTGAAAAACAGTTTCATGACTGGCCAGGCTACGGTGTGAAAGTTCTGTTTGTTTCTCCTTGATGAACCCCCCCGCTCCTTGGTTCACTCTACTTCCCTGTAAGCTAACCACCCTCCCCTCCTCCCTTTAATTATTGCTTGCAGAGCCAATAAAGTCATTGTTGCTTCACATTCATGCATTCGTTATTCATTCATCACACAAATAGGGGGATGACTACCAAGGTATCCCAGGAGGGGTGGTGGAGGAGGGAAGGAAAATGCCACACAGCACTTTAAGCACAGCACTTTAAAAGTTTACAACTTTAAAATTTATTGAATGCCAGCCTTCTTTTTTTTGGGCAATCCTCTGTGGTGGAGTGGCTGGTTGGCCGGAGGCCCCCCCACCGCGTTCTTGGGCGTCTGGGTGTGGAGGCTATGGAACTTGGGGAGGAGGGCGGTTGGTTACAGAGGGGCTGCAGTGGCAGTCTGTGCTCCAGCTGCCTTTGCTGCAGCTCAACCATACACTGGAGCATACTGGTTTGGTC